ATGGAATGGCAGAAGAGCGAAAATGTAAGCAACATGGAACTCAGGAACCTTTGTCTTTCCCTTAAGGGAATAACGCAGATGGATAGGGTCAGAAGATGTAGTTAAAACTAAAATGATGTTCCATAGAATGATGGGTTCAGCCAGTGTTCAATATTACAAATAAAATAAAACCACTGCAGAACATTTCTTTATGTGGGTTTTTCAAAAATACAAGTTTAAAAATGGCCCTGCATGTTTAATCAATAGAACAGATTAAAGATTTAATGAGGCATAAGAGATTGGAACAGAAAACAGGCAGGGTGTGCTTTCTCATGTTTTGCTTCTCCTCTTTTGCACGGTCAGCACTGTATCATGTTCTTCTTTTCTGTTCAGAAAACAAATCTGCAGCTCAGCCTGTTGCTCCACTGCTCCCACTGCACTCTCTTAGGTTTAATCCATTCCTGAGCTAGTCACTTTAAGGGGGAAATCAGTTGCTGTGCAGCTACTTAGCAGATATCTGTGTCTCCTTAGGGAGGACAGCATTTTGAATCTTGCGGATGGCATGTCATGGCTGAGTGAGGCAAGCAGATTTGTACCAAACTGCATCTCTATCACTAATAAATTGGGTTGTCTCTAGGATTAACCTTTGCCCCCAATGTAACAGCATCAAGCAGTTGGTCCATGGTCGACTCTGTAGCTTTTTCAAGTGCATGTCGGAGAAGAAAGAGGTAACTGTTTTGGTCAAAACCAACAGGCTGGAGGACAGTATGGGAAAGAAGGGGCTGCATCCCTCAAGCCCTTTTCCTTTCCTTGATATCATTTGGCCCTGTCCTTTCTCCAGTGTCCATTCCTACATTTTTCATGTTAAAAAAAAATCCCACTTAAAAATGTCTGTCACTTAGGTGCTTTTATTGGCTGACTGATGAGGTGGTGACTTTCTGCTGATCTTTCCCCTCCTTCATCTCTTCCTCTGTCTTTGGTCCTGGAGCACCGGCTGACCAGCAGACTGTCCTAGCCCTGAGCCTCATTGGAGCCACCACTACCGTTAAGCAGAGTAAAGCAACTGTGTTAGACAGCAAGTGGTAGGGGACATCAGTGGCAGTCTTCCCAGCCTGTCCTGGAGCCCATAAACTACTCTTCTGTGCTCAACTGTAATGAAGAACTCAAGTCATGTTGCCAGCCTTGAGTTACCAGTCCAGTTGGCTTTTTTATGTGGAGTGAAATTTAGCTGCCAGTCCAGTTGGCTTTTGTATGTAGACTGGGTGTGTATATGCGTGTGTGTTGTGATCTTGTCCTTTGCTGTACACAGCAAAATGTCTTGGAGATAGCTTTGAGTCTCACTAACATCTGCCATGGGCTCATTCCTTCCTTGCAGATTTGGATGAGCCTGTCCTCACCGTCCACCAGACCATCAGTGATGTACGTGGCAGTTTCTACCAGGAAAAGACAGTCTTCCTTCGGTGCACAGTCAACTCCAACCCACCAGCTCGCTTCATCTGGAGACGGGGTTCTGAGACCCTGTCCCACAGCCAGGATAATGGAGTTGATATCTATGAACCATTATACACACAGGTGAGAGGGACATTGCCAGCCAGCAAGCTTTGTTTTATGTATTCTTGAAGACTTTATTTTGCTTTCATTGTAGTTTGGACTGGCTGTAAGGTTCTACTCAGTATCTAGATAAACAGTAGCAGAGTTGGAATAATTGTTAGAAATTGACCTTTCAGAGTGATTTAGGACACACAAGCCTCTCTTCTTTCTCTCATCTCCCAATGATGACATCTACAGACACAGAGGTCAGAAAGACCTTGCTGTACTTTACTCTTTCATCCAAAGGGTGGTGAGATATTCTGGATGGCAATCTTTAAGGAGACCATTTCCTGGATGGATGATATAGATTTGGTGAGATTAAGCATCAGTGGAAGAGAAGAATATACTTTCCTCCCATAACCCACCATTTCCTCAAACAAGATGTTTGCAGATATCACTGGTTGGAGGGGAATTTTCATTTCTATCTTCTACCTGGCCACTTTTTAATTTATTTATTTAATCCTGACCCTCTTCTAAGTTGCTCAAGGTGGTGTCTAAGGTTCTTCCCTGTCACTCAACCATTCCATCATGTTAAGAATATAAAGTAATTTAGTCTGTGCTGTATGTTTGGGTGAGAGATAATGGCAGACATAAGGTCATGTGAGTATCATAGCGTAGAGACAGGTTAATGGTAGTGATGCTCTAGCCTCCTCTCCTCTCCCCTCCAGCCTTGATTGGCATCCTTGAGTCTTTGATGCTATTCACGACATAGAAACAATCAGCTCTGGAAAAAGGGATCTGCAGTGGCAGGTAGGCCATAGAGAGGCACACAGAAATCCTTAAAAGGGCCATATATGGTCTGTGGGTTATGGTCTGTCTCCTGCTCTTATGCTACATTTTTTGTTTGGCTCCCCAGGAAAGCAGATGCTTATAAGGCTACTTCAATATGTATCTGTATAGTCTGTTTGTGTATGACACCATGCAAGTGTTATAGTCTGTTTATTTTGGAGAAGCCTTCAAACCGCTGTAATGGAGGCTAACCATATGTTGCTTGGATTATAAGGCAAGGTGGCATTTCCCATGCAGATATTAATAACGAATTTCAGGAGAACCCAAGTGACAAGGTTTCCTTATGAATGATTTCATACATTAAAAAAATTCAAGCAAATTGTTGCGTGGTGTAAAAAGAACAGCAAAAACACAGTGAAACAGATAATAAAAACAGCCTAAGAATTAATGATCTACAAATCAAATATTATTTTAAGGAGTAAGTCTTTCACCAAATACCTTATCCTTAGCTTTGGGTATACAATTGCTATCCTGGAGAGAAAAAAAGAGTTGAAGAACAATTCTAGATGTTCCTTCTTCATCTTGCCTTCTCTGAACAGAAATATCCATTTATCACTCTTCTCACAGCTGGAGATGAGCAGTCGAAGAAATTTATCTAGATAGCATTGCTTAAGCTTCAGGTTATGATCTAGAAATAATAATTACTTCCCCTGCTTTGAAGTTCAGTATTTTTGTATTAACTTCATGAGGAATCTCTTCAAACTCTGGAAGTATTTCTTTCTGTTTTCTATCAGCTAAGCAGCATCTTTGCTGACTTTCTTCCTAACTAAGCCATTGTTCTTTCTGTCTGATACCTACATAGAATACAATATTATTGGGAAATGGCAAGGCATCTCTTAATCTTGTGATGGTAGAATTTTCAAGACAGCAGAGGTATGTGGCCCTGATGAGGTCACCAACCCTGGTTCGCTAGCCATCCCTGGGTTTCAGATAAATCTGAATAAATCGGAGTGATTGAACCAAAGAGATGTCAACTCATGTTCAACATTTTTCTCTAAGTTTTCATACACGATCCCTTTAAAATGCCAACTATAAGTGTAGTTACAAGGCTTTCCTTCTATATCTTTAATCACCGTCGTCATATTAGAACTGCAGAGCTGGGAAGGAGGATCATATAGTCTAGTCACTGAGGACTCTTTAGCTCCACAGCCAGATACTTCAACCACAGAGTTATCCAGCAGATAGTGCTGGATGGAGGATCACCTTTCAGCCTGAGGAGACTTTTTCTCACTGAGTTACACTTTGGGAACCAACTTTCTCCCATTCTTTTTCTTTCCTTCACTCTCCTTCTCATCCCAACCTCTTGAGCCCTTACTGCCCCCCTCCCCTCACTTTCTCTCCCCTGTCTGTTCTTCTCTCTCATTGTATTCCTCTCTATGGACTAAGAAAACAACAGCCCTTTCTACAGTATCTGTTTTTGAAAATGTTTGTCTGATGAAAGTGTTTAGGTTAAATATTCAGTCATGAAGTACTGTTGAAAAAAAAAACCAATATGAATGTGTTGAGCTTTTTTCTCTCTCCATCCTATAAAGAAAGGGTCAGTATTTTCAAGACTTCCTGTGTGCATTCTTTCCTGAAATCCTTAATTTATTGTCTCTCTTTGTTGGAATTCCTAGAACAGTGATTCTTAACCTTGGGTTACTCAGGTGTTTTTGAACTGCAACTCCCAGAAACCTCAGCCAGCACAGCTGGTGATGAAGGCTTCTGGGAGTTGCAGTCCAAAAACACCTGAGTAACCCAAGGTTAAGAACCACTGTCCTAGAACACTTTACAAACTTGTGACTGTGTTGTCCAAAGCAGTCTGGGAAATGATGCCTTATCGTCCTTATCTAATTTCAGTGCTTCTCACAGGAAGACAACTTCAGAAGCAGGAGGAACTTGAGGAGGGAGCAAGTGGGGGGAAAGGGCAGTTCTTTCGGAACAGCTTCTTCACCCTCATCTATGAGCCAACCTCAGGCTGGGCTGTGTATGGTTTCTGACTGAATCTGATTTTTGCAGTATGCCTTAGGCAGCTTCTTAGTTAATATTACCAAATACTTGGCTTATTAAAACTATTTTTTTTTCTTGCATGCAAAGGAAACGTGGGTAGATGAAACAGAAACTAGGCAACTTTGAATTTTAAGATAAAGCAATAAGAATGATGCACAATCCATTCAGCTTTCACAATTTTGCCCTTCCAGCATAGTATTGAGAGAAGGAAGGCATATGTATAACTTTGCGGCATGAGCCTCAGAAGCGAGCAGGGCCTGTCTGTCTCTGTATAAAGGAGGGGCACAGGGTTTTCTATTTTTATATTTCACAGTTCTGCAGAAAGCAAGGAAAATGTGTGACTTCTCTGGCAAGAGCCTCAGAAGCAAGCAGGGCCTGTGTGTCGCTGTATAAAGGAGGAGCACAGGGTTTTTTATTTTTATATTTCACAGTTGTTCCGCAGAAAGCAAGGAAAATGTGTGACTTCTCCTGGCAATGGCATGAAACTTGGTTCCCCTGCTTTCTTCTTGAGGCGAGTTGTGGGACTTGAACAATTAGAAGAAGCTGGGCTTATCCTACTTATTAAAAATTGTCTGAATAATCTTCTGGTTACTTCTACTTTTTCAAACCTTAGGTGACACAGTCACTTTAAATAACAGTAGATGGGTGGCAGGGTAATAATTATCACATTTCATTGTCAAGCCAAGACTGGGGACCTGAGAAGGGATAACATCTGAAAATTAGAAAACATATTTTGTCTTCCCAAATAATCATGAAACATGGACAGTGGTCACAAGAAAAATGTTCCATGCGGAGTCACTCTTCTTTATATTATAGTATCATATGAGTAAGACAAGAGAGAGAGAAAATGGATTTGCCATGTCACACTAATTACCATGTCTTCTGTGTACCTTGGTATTACAGTTACATGGACCAATCTTCAAAATGCAGCAGGTAGTTACATTAACAAGTGAACTGTAGACCTAATGGCTCAGGCTTTGTAAACTGATTTATAGTGTAGGTTTCTACACGTTTACCCTACATTTACTGATCAATAAATCGGAGGCATACAAACTATACATACATCACCAGTTGACAGGCGGGCTGTCAATGCCATTGTTCATGCAGCATAACAACTATTCCCCAGGGAGATCTTTTTTCAAGGGTATTAGTCTCCCAGGTATTTATCTTGCTCATCCAGCTCAGATGCTGGATGTTGCATTGCAAACGGTTGTGCAAATGGCTTGTTCTAACCAGCATATCCAGATCTAGTGAGTCTGTAACATGGATGGCTTTGCACATGACCAATCACATGAAAGATGTTCTCAAAAATTAAAAAAGATTATCTGAAATCCAAAAGTCTAATACCTGCTAACATGAGCAGTGGGACATGTCTCTGAGCTCCCAGTCGTGAATGAAAATATTGTTATATCTAATGCTTCATTTGACACAACAGTCTTGAAAAGTTACTCGATAAAGTCCTATGCAAAAGCTGTTAAATGGAAAAGGAGGTCAAGAAGAATGCTACAGTATGGAAAAAAAAAACTCACGCTTTGGGCAGAAGCAGGATGAAAGGCTCATCGTAAACCCATGGGGCCACAAAGGGACATTGTTAGTTATTTGAAAATCAGAATGAAAACCTACAAAAGATGGTCTGAAATGCAGATTACTAAGGACCGTATTACTTTGGAATAAATATGTTATGAGACAATCAAAAGAGTAAGGATAACAAAGTTGGCTTTTTAATGATATTAAAAACTAGGGATTTTACAAGCGTCTTGTTAACAAACAAAAGATAAAAGACATGTTGGGTGTTCTGCTTGAGAATATAGGAGGGAAATGTGACAGGATTTTTTTTTCTTTAAAAAAATGCTGAAGTCAATTCCTACTTAGATTCAGTCTTTCAAAATATCAAAGGTTGTGCTAACCTAAGAGCGTATGAAAGGAAGCCCAAATGGGGCCTGATGACATTCATATAAGGAGTCCAAAGGAATTAGAAGGGCAGTATCAGGATTACTATCAAATTAGAAAGCGTACACAAAGCTGGTTTATTCCTGGAAGAGTAAATAGTAACTCCTCTTATTTTTAAAATGCTTTTACACAGAAATAACAGAAAGTTATCTTGATTTCAATACCCAAGAGTATATCAGAGCAAATAGTAAAACATCTTAAAGTATTCTGTGAGCAATGGTAGGTAGAGGGGGTGGTTGGGAGAGAACTATTAAAAACCAAACTTGTTGTTTTAAGGAAATTAGTTATTGGTAACAACCTCTGATGTACTAGTTTATTTTGTAGGCAAATGTAATTCAAAAAACTTTATTTCATCCCAAGGTGTCTAAATGGTTTGAGGGGAGGGGGAGAATATTGGTCTGGTGGGCATGTGTATACACACACACACACAGACACACACACACACACACACACACACACACACACACCCTTTGAGCTGCAGTGCTAGTCATTCTCTTCCACATTTACCACATTGGGTGGGGTACAAGAGGGAAAAGCAGAATTAGGTGGGAGGAAGGGTGAAGATAATTTGCCACTATCTTCTGTCCTGGCAGAGCAGCGGACAGTATTTCAAGTTTGGTGATAAATCTCATTAAGAATGCCTAGCTTGTTAGAACAGCTCTGAAATATTCCAGTAAAAAATTCTGTTGCTTCACCTCTTGAGATACAAGTAATGGCCACTCTGTTCAACTTGTGATGTCAATGTATGATAGTCAGTCTTTTTTCTTTCAGAAGTCTAATTGCACAAAAAGGAACTTAAAACAGAACTTGCCTGTAAATTATTTTCAGAAATAGGGGATATGGTGGTGTTGTGGGTTAAACCGCAAAGCCTCTGGGCTGCAAGGTCAAAAGATCAGCAGTTCGAATCCATGCAACAGAGTGAGCTCCCGTCGCTTGTCCCAGCTCCTGCCAACCTAGCAGTTCAAAAGCATATAAAATGCAAGTAGATAAATAGTTTCCATGGTGGGAAGATAACGGTGTTCCTTGTCGGGCCACGTGACCACGGAAATTGTCTATGGACAAAACGCTGGCTCTACAGCTTGGAGACAGGGATGAGCAGCACCCCCTAGAGTTGGGCACGACTGGACAAATTGTCAAGGGGACCTTTACCTTATGCAATTTGCTACTGTTGCTCCACCACCTAAAATGAGAACTTTGTTGTTGAAAATGCAAGCAGATACAATTATAACGGCGTTCCTTGTCGGGCCACGTGACCACGGAAACTGAGAGGAGTTGTTGTTAGGGCTCTGCACATGAGCAGCACCCCCTAGAGTTGGGCACGACTGGACAAATTGTCAAGGGGACCTTTACCTTATGCAATTTGCTACTGTTGCTCCACCACCTAAAATGAGAACTTTGTTGTTGAAAATGCAAGCAGATACAATTTGTTTCTCTTTCTAAGATAGGGACAGAGAACCTTTGACTTCCCAGATGTTTTGGGAAACCAAAAACTCCCAAATACCATTATGGATCTAGACAAAGATCAGGTCAGAAGGTCACCAAAGGACACAGGGCAATTTGTGCTCCCCTTATTTGGTCACAAAGAGAGGAGTTGTTGTTAGGGCTCTGCACATTCCTATTTTTCACTTTTAAAGTAAAATTTGACCCATGCAGGTATTTTGGATTTATGACTGTATGGTACAATAACACAAGACCTGAAAGTACATCCATACAACCGAACACAATGATGGAATGATTCCTGTGATCACAGGATGCTCTCTTTGTAATCCCCTGTTATTGTAGTTCTGTGCAGCTGAAAGAGGTAAGCAGATATGATCACATGGAAGATCTTAACCACTCTGTGTGTATTTGAGTCCATCTCAACGTTCTTTATGCTAATTCATCTTGTTTCTTTTTAAATCATCCAGGGAGAAACCAAAGTCCTGAAGCTGAAAAATCTGCGACCACAAGACTATGCCAGTTACACATGTCAGGTGTCTGTCAGAAATGTGTGTGGTATTCCTGATAAGTCTGTAACCTTCGAGCTTACCAACACCACAGGTGAGTCAGACAAGTCCGATAGCTATTATCATGAGGAAAATCTTCTCAACTAGGTGTGGGGAAATTTGTCTGTGGTTACTTTTACCCATATTTGAATATTTTAAAGTTTGAGGCTTTTCGTTCACATTCCACATATACAATGTGCACATTTTGGTTAATATCTCAAAAAATTGACTGAAACAAACTATTCCTTCCAATTCAGTGGCTGAAATCCTGCAGTGCCTATGTGGCTCTAGTAGCAGAGCAGTTGACAGATAGTCCTAACAAGAGAATTTCAACTGTGGAAGGAACTGTTATAAGACCTTTTCCCCCAAAGGTATCAGTCTAGTCTAGACCAGTGGTTCCCAGCCTTGTAGTGTTCTACAGCTCCAACTCCCAGATACCCTGGTTAACATGGCTGGTGGTGAAAGCTTCTGGTATTTGCAGTCCAAGAACACTTGGGTTACCCAAGATTGGGAATCAATGATCTAGACAGATGTTGCAACCATAGGATGTAACTGTAGAGTGAGATCCTAAGCACAGCGTGGATGCATCTGTTTTCCTCTATGCATACCAGTTTAATTTGTAAGGAAGGACTGCCCCCTGTACACACTTTCTGCATTTAAAACTCACAAAAGCAGGGCTGGGGAGCAGGCAAACCTCTAGATGTTGTGTGAACTGCATCTGTCACCTGCCCTAATCTATTAAGCAAATGGGGATGGAGGAAGCTGCACTCCAGCGATATGTGGAAGGTCACAACTGCCCAGCTCTGCACTAAATATTAGAATCACAAGGTCATCCCCCATAACCTTGGATTCAAGAAGCAAGGGGGAATTGTCCTTTCCTTTTTAATCCCTTGTGTCTGATTACAATGGAACATTTATTAAAGGCTGAAACAAATCCCTGCAAGTTGCATATGAAGCCAGTGATTCTTGGTATTCTATTATTAATGCAGTACAATTAGGAGGTGCAGCCGGTCAGCTATAGGACCCTTCATTGCCCAGAGCACTACATGCTTGGCAGCCATTAGTAATGAATGCATTTCCTCCCTCCTCTTGGTTTCTGAGAAGGTAAGCAACACAGCTGGAGAATTCTCCTGCAGTTGTACTGCAGCAAATTGGACTTCAAAGGGAATTGAAAGCGACTCTTTGTTTTTATTGCCGCTTCCCCCCCCCCCCCGCTTTTCCTTAGCAGACTTCACCAGCAAGTTTTCTCAGCTGAGAACAAAAGGAATCGCCACAGGTTACAAATAAATGAGATTCATCTCCTGCATTACAATGGCTGCATATTTTTAGCCTCCACCTGCTGGCTCAGGATGTGAACAGAGGTGGGCCCCAAAGCCAAACTTGGGTTTTTGTGTTGTCTAGCCGGAGCTTAGGTGCCACAAGAGCAAATGATGGCACTTTTATAAGTTGCAGGTGGCAGTTTTAAAGGTCCATTTCTTTCCAGTTACACATATAAACAAGTTGCCCCAAGGCAGAACCAGTCCCATCAGGTCACATTTTCTGACATTAAGGAGAAAAATAAAATAAAATGTTGTGGCTTAGCAGGATTTTAGCTGTGAAGGCTGTGAAGCTGAGATAAAATAGAAGTATAATTTGAACTGTTGTCTAAACCAGAGCTTCAGAGCATTTCCCCCTGTTTCATAGTGAGGCCCATTATGTCAGGGAAAATATTACTTTTGATCGTCTTCAAGGGCAAAAACCGATGGCTTCACATTGCAGCAATAAACTGTGCTCTCCTTTCTCTGTGTTGGTCTTCCGAAATGGAGGCCACCCACAGCTAGAGATGTGTGAGGAATCAAATTTTATTCTGATGTCTGACAGGCCCTGAGTGGGCTGGAGTCTGGACTCAATTTGCACCCTGGAATCCTCCTGTGGATACAAGACTGCAGATGCGACTAGGAAAAACGGGCACAAAGAAAATGTGAGCATTTCAGAAGTGTGCAAAATACTGCTTTAGTCAGTGGAGAGAATGCATTCAAACAATAGGTACAGTTTTTAAAGTGCATTCAGAATATGCACTTGTGAGGTGGGAATAAGTAAAAAAATGGAGATAAGTTGCCTTATAAAAAAGGGAAGGGAGATTATTAAAACAAGGCATAGGGTGGAAGATCCTTCAGGCCAGGAGTGGAAGGGTTTTTTTTACTTTCTGTTTCTTTTTGTAGATAAAATACATTCCTCAAAAAACGACTTCATGCCCTCTAGAGGGTCTGACAAGAGGGGCAACCTCAGCATGTCTTAGGTCCCTCCTGAACTATTTTAGACTGTAGAGATGCCAGGTTTTGAAACTGGAAGAAAGCAGAAGGCATTCTGGTTTTGACAGGAGCAGGCAAGGACATCTGGACCTGAAACAGTTTAAGAGGATAAGAAAATTGCTCCCCACACCAACCGTGCCTGGTGGCTGCAAAGGGCCTTCTTGCTGGGGTGCCACACTTTGCTGGCTTCTGCTACAGCCCAAAGGTGGGAAGGAAATGCTTTATAGAATGTGGCAGATCGGCAAGCCTATGTTTCAGTGAAAAGTGGGAGAAATCCTGCGCTTCATAATTAATAATGAGGGTAGGGAGAAGGTTGGGATGCCATTTGCTAGCCCAGTTGGCAGACATTCTGATGAACTGAGTGGATGGTATGGTTCCTATATTTTAGGAAAGCTTTAAAAAGTATCATTTATTTATTTATTTATTTACTTGATTTTATTTTATTTAACTTATATGCTGCCCACACTACTCAAAGGCCCTTGGGCATTTAGTTGATTGGCTGCCTAGCTGATTGGTTGATTGCCATTAATATGCCACCCAACAATCAAAGACTGCTTAGCTGAATAAATAAATGAAGAATACCATATTTTTCCATGTATAAATGACACTTTTTCCTAAAATTATTACAGGAAAATTTGGGGGTTGTTTTATACACGGAGGTAAGGGGGGTAAAGGGATCAAAGTGCTTTGATCCCTGCTTTCCCCCTCCACATTTTGAAAAGAAAATGTAGCAGGAAAGTGATTCCTGCTTTGCCCCTCCACTTTCGTTGCAAAAAGCTGCTTTCGCCCTACACTTTTTGCATTGAATTTGTAGGGGCAAGCAGGAATCTCTTTGCCCCTACACTTTTGTTGCTAAAAGTGTAGGGAGAAAACAGCTTTTTGCAAAGAAAGTGGAGGGGGGAAAGCACTTTCCTCGCAAGAAAGTGGAGGGGGAAAGCAGGAATCAAAGTGCTTTGATCCCTGCCTTCCCCCTCCACTTTCTTGCAAGGAAAGAAATTTTGGGTAGAAAAGTGGGGGGTCTTATACATGGGAGTATCTTATACATGAAAAATACAGTAAATAACACTCTGAAAAAGACGTTCCCTGAGTACAAAATGGCTAGAGAGAAATGGAGAAGTTCTGTCTTCCTACAGAGTTAATGAGAAATGCAAAGCATTGGTTGCTGTTTTTTTCCAGCACCTGAATAGAAGAGTCAGTCTGGATGTGTGAAAACCAGAGTAACCGTGAAATATGTGTGTTGGGGCCCCCATTATTGAGGCGAGAACAGCCTCCTACTTTCTGCTTGCATGAGCTGTAACTCAGAAATTCAAGGCAAACCCAGCACTGCTCATTAACACAGGGTCCAAGGAGAGGAGATGACAGAAATAATGATGTCGTTAAATCAAGCTTTATGAATATGTAACAACATCTTATTTTGCATTATTATGGCTGTTACTTAAAACACGCTATCTGCCTTTGTACCCCTGACTGTTGCTTCCTGAGCTTGGTTTGGTGTCTCTGATGGCGTGGACGAGAGGCCTTAAAGGGCCTTTGAGAGATTAGACAAAAAAACACAGAGTAAAGCCTTTTGGATCCGTGTCTGGGGATGTGGGAGAGAAAAGGAATTAATCAGGAGGGTCGAGGTTAAGCATTCTAAAGCAGAGGAGTTACCCATTCATAATATGACTCCTTTCATAAAGGGGGGAGAGCAACAAGGATTTGTGAATGAGGTTAGAACTGGTTACTTGATATGTGTGTAGGGGAAAGAGATGGCCCTGGGAGGTTAGCACTGATTGTTTGGAAGGGCAGAAGGGGGGCAATATTAACAAGCTAAAAGTCGTTCTGCTCTTTCATTGCTAGGATCTGAGCTAAGGAGGATTAAATCTGTGAGGAAAATGCTTCTGATACCCTGCATCTGCTTTGAGGAATAAAATAAGATGTGGGGATTTGGAAAGGACAGTTTCACCACCACCACCAAAATAATGTTACTGAAAGTTTCTTATCCCCTTCCCTCATGCCAAAACAGAAGTATGAGGGGTGGCGGCTGCAGGATAGGGACCACGCCCTCTGGCTGTTTGTGCTTATAACACCAAATAGTAGATTGGTATCGCATCTAAATGCACTTTTAGCTTGTGGCTGTTTGTCAGTGTTCTGGAAGGTTAGAGGAAGAAAAGGCAGAGACACTGTGTGCCTCTGCAGCAGCCCCTACAACCAAATCTGTTGAAGAAGAAACCAAAGGGAAGCAAAGAGAGTAATTGCGGGGTGCAGGGAAGTCATCCTGGTAATGAGGGTGAACCGAGGGAATTCTGATGTTGTTTGGGTTATGAGTAAAACGTTCTGGAGATTTTAAAATGAGCCTCTTCTTTGGAGCACCTGCAGTTTATTTCCCTAAGGTATTTCTTTGGTGGCATCCCTACTATAGATTGTAACTACACTGGTGCCTCGCTTAACGACGCCAATCCATTCCAGGAAAATCGCCATTAAGCGAAAACATCATAAAACAAAATTAAAAACCCCATTGAAACACATTGAAACCCGTTCAGTGCGTTCCAATGGGGTAAAAACTCACCGTCCAGCGAAGATCCTCCATTCGGCAGCCATTTTCGCTGCCTATATAGTGAGGAATCCATCCCTGAACACAGCGGAGAGCCATTTTAAGCACCCAGCGACCATTCTGAAACCGCCGATCAGCTGTTTAAAAAACCATCGTTTTGCAAAGAATCGGTTCCCGAAGCAGGGAACTGATCATCACAAAAAACCCTATTTAGACCATCGTTTTGCGATCACAATTGCGATCGCAAAAGATAGTCGTATAGTGATTTCTTTGTAATGCGGGGCAATCATTAAGCGAGGCACCACTGTACATAGTTGCACCTTGTTACAAGAAACATTAATTACAGGCAAAATAATAATGGCCAAATCTTACTGGATATTTACATACTGTATAAGAAAGAAGAATAGAAGCAGTTGTTGTCACTAATTGTGGCTAATTGACAAGGTGTGAGGTGTGAGAACAGGCATATGACTGGTCATGTGATCAGCACGTTACAAGGACCTCATCAATGAGCTGCACCAACTTCTGCAATTCCTCTTCCAAAGGCATAAATATCTAGTAGGATTCTGGCCAATGAATAATTTCCACATTACAATAATACTAAGGCAGCTTGTACAGTTCTTTAAAAACTACTTCTGATGTAATAAGCAATATTTCCTAGTTACTTTCTAAAGTGCTTTTCAAGGCATTGTGACAAGTTTTTTGGGGGGTTATGATTAAGAAGCGTTAAGTGGTAATGGAGGTATGGCTTGTTGTGTCATTTATATTTAACTACCACTTATTGAGGTATTCCTAGAAGCAGCACCAGTTACCAGGAAGTCCCTGCTGAAACTAACTAGACAAAAGGGAGGCTGGGAAGCTATCTTACAGTTGTGAGAGACATGTCGTTTTCTAAACTAATCAAGAAAACACAGACACATGTTTTTGAGTGTTAAGTAAGCATCTAAATTTATTCAATAACTCATGATAAAGCTTTCCTGCTATCAGAAGTTTGAGAACATTGCTTTAAATTCAGTTTCACTGAAGCTTTGCTTTTTCATACAGGTTCAAGGGCAAATGCAAGTGACATTTTATACATACAAACCTATGACTCTTGGAAGTTTTTACCTCTGTCTCTGTTTACCCCCTCTCTCCTCTGTCTTACAGCCCCACCAGCCTTAAAGCTGTCTGTGAATGAAACCTTAGTGGTGAACCCAGGAGATAATGTCACCATACAGTGTTCATTAACGGGGGGAGACCCTTTGCCCCAGGTCATCTGGTCCCACTCACCCGGCCCTGTGCCCCACAACAGTTTGATTCAAGGGGGCAATCTCACCATCTGGGGGATCCATGTGGAAGATTCAGGCTATTACAACTGCACGGCCATCAACAACGTGGGGAATCCAGCCAAGAAGACAGTGAACCTGTTGGTGCGATGTACGTCTTCCTTTGGACATAGATGGGCATATCTGGATTCACGGTGCACTTTGTTGTTTGTTTTTAGTTTTGGAATGAATGCAGGACAAGTATTTTGGGATGGTGGATTATTTATCCCCAGTTTGATCCTACATTTGCCTATTGTTCCTGTGCTGTTTCCAACACAAGCACAAGTACGTGCAGAAACACTTATTTTCAAGCTGAGTATCTAACATGTGACTCCACTCAAGTTCTTTAGGCCATGCGTAGAAATCTTCTCTCCCACATCTCCTAATCTCCCTACAGACAAAGGGTTGCCCTGCCATGTTCCTTTTTACCAAGGGTTAAACAAGACCATATAGGTACATATGTATAATGTGCTGTTTTTACCTTAGAAGCAACAAGTTAAATATTAAAAAATGGCAGCAGGTCCCTTGGATCAAGACCACAAAGTGCAGGGGAGGAATTATCCTCTTTCCCCTGCTCTCAAAACTACTGCTTGTTCCAGAAGGGAAAGTGTTGTTAAGGATAGGCACGTTATACGATTTCACGTATTACCTAGGGTGGCTCCTAGGGGAGGCGGGACCTTGTGGCGTTGCATGTTTCTGTTCACCTGTTTCTCATGTGCCTCTCTTCCAGCCATGAGAAATGCTACGTTCCAGATCACTCCTGATGTGATCAAAGAGAGTGAGACCATTCAGCTGGGGCAAGATCTGAAGCTTTCATGCCACGTGGATGCTGTTCCACAAGAAAAGGTTTCCTACTTCTGGTACAAGAATGGGAAGCCAGCCAAGGTCTCAGACCGCCTAGTTGTCATCAGGAATGATCCAGAACTTCCGCCAGTGACCAGCAGCCTGGAGATCATTGACCTTCGCTTCACAGACTATGGGACTTACCTTTGTGTGGCCTCCTTCCAAGGAGCACCCATTCCTGATCTCAGTGTGGAGGTGAACATTTCTTCAGAAACCGGTGAGCCTTCTTCATTCACATCAGTGCAGCAGATGTCGAAATCATAGCACTCCTCACAACCCTCCCACGCAGCTACACTCCCACAGAGAATGCAAACACAGAGCCAGTTATGTTGATCCATAGCAAGAAATGAGATGACACAGTTTTCACTTCTACCAGGAGCAGGTCCATTGTAAACATAACAGGTCTTAAGTATCTATTAAAGACCAAGCCACCCCACAGTGCTTTCGATTATAATGAGGATTGCTCACAAGAGTGCATCATTGCTGGAGAAAATCCATTTTTCACTCCCGCTACTATGAGGATTGCAGCTAAAATCTATGGGAACAGAGGGGCCTGAGGGGGGGAGGCAGACTGTGTCATCTTCCCTTCTAATTCCTGTTAATCAAAGCTTCCCAGACCAGCCCTTTGAGCTCTGGAACACTACAACGGTGTTCAGTATGCTTTCCCTGGAATTATCTGATTGTAGAATGCACATTCAAATTAAATTTAAGAAGTTTATACCTTCAGGAACAGCTTTGGTGGTGATGGTGGTGGAATTTCAGAAACACCATCTAAATAATAAGACTGCAAGCTTATATTGATCCCCTTCATAGATTAGCATTATTCTGATGGTAAAATCTCCCCTCGCTACTTAATCAGAGTGGCCCAGATTGAAGAGAAAGCTGCTGTGCATTTATTTCTTCCTGCCTGCAAATTTTCAAGATTTTTAATCTTGAGAATCTGTGTCCAAAGCTGGCTGATATCTCCATAAGGTTGTATTTCTGAGTCAAATAATGATGAACAAAGCATGTGATTCATAGTACATGCACCTACCATTTTGTACCACTTCAGTTTAAAAAGTGATGCTCCCCACCCACACCATCAAAAGCATCTGTATGTAGACGAACAGCAAGTTAGGGAGAAGGATTCACATCTGGCCCGACCAACACAGCTGATTCAGAGAGACAAGGGAAGAGAAAGAGAATGTTCTTCCCTGGAGTTAAAAGTCTTTGGTGCCATTGACAGACCAAACTGCAAAGGCTTGTCTTTAGAAACAGCATCAACTTTTAAGTTGGTTCTCAAATCAAATCAAGTCTGGAGGTAAATGTTGAAACTGAGTCTGTTGTACTCTGGGCATATCCTGAGAAGGCAGGGTGCTCTGGAAAAGACAATAATGCTGGGAAAGGTGGAAGGCAGCAGGAAAAGAGGAAAACCAAATACAAGATGAATTGACTCCCTAAAGGAAGTTACAAGCTTGAGTTTGCAAGAGTTATTTTTTGTGCTAACTAAATAATGGTCCGATCCAATGTCTGCCCCTCTATAGGCTTTTGCATCAAGCAGTGATGACCTCCACTTCTGACTAATACAAATATAATCAATCTCGTTGAAAGTAATCAATCTCTGTTGAGGAAAGTTATGTGACTTGATGGCACACAACAACGGCAACAATAAGAGTAGCAACAATAATAGTTCAGTTACAATACCAACAAAAATATCTTCTGCTCCTGTTAACTTCCGTGGAAAGCACACAGGAATGGGACTTTCCCTTAAGAGGAAGGGCATTGTGTCCAGGGGGAGGGGAGAGAGCTAATTTTCACTGGAATAGCATAGGGAAGGGTTAAGCTTCCCTTCTGTTTATGTACTATTGTCTAGATGAAATCCCCCATGTACTGCTACTACTGATTATTATTCATTTTAAAAACACATCATTTTAATTGAAATTTTTGTGTCAAATGCTGCTTGACCATAAGAGACTAACAGAGTTAGGGCAGGTGGAGAGCAGAGCATTTTCCCACAACACAGAGATCAAGGCTATTTTAGTTGGTTGATCAAAGCATTTTTCCAAAGGAGGATGCCTGGCACAGGAAAATATGGAATGCTTAGGGAATAGGAAGCTATGTCAAAATTCTTCCCCAAGAATGGTTTAACATGGTTTTTACAGACCTGTAGATCTTTGCCTTTGTGGCTGCTTGGCAGTAATTCTCAAACTAGGAAAATCGAAGCCATACTGCATTTTCCCATTCTCTGGTCTCATGACATCTACCAAGATGGCCACCCACATAGAAATAGGCCCTGGAGATCAGCCTTTAATTAAAAACTCCTCAGATGCAATTTGCACATTTTCCTCAAGGAGAAAATTGTCTCCTGCTAGGTGAGCGTCTGCTGGCAATGCTGAGCCATGATAGTGCAGTTCTATCTTCACACCACAGTGGATAGGATCTGATGAGATTCCACAGCCCACAGGAGACCTGCAAATTGAAAATTCACATTTTTATTGCCTAGTGAGGGAGCTGTTGGAGATACCAGTTGCTAGGGCTGCCTAAATACGGTCTTAAGTTAGCTATGTATTCTTTCTGCGTGTGATTTAAATCCTCACACTCTCAGCCCTCTTGCATACATGTGTCACATTGAGACATTACTGGACAGTGTGTATTAAAATGATTTCCGTTTCATCTAAGAAGGAATAATCAAAAGCTCTTGGTGGGTGGAAACCTGAGGTACATGAAAATGCATGATAAGAGAACGGAGGAAGGCACAGCTCTTAGAAAAATAGAAGGAAGGCACAAATATCTGAGATGTCAGGTGCTTTGAGAAGACCAGATGCAGGAAGATGATTCGGTTAGAAGACATCTGCAGCAGCTCTGAATCCAGCTTTCATCTGAGACCTTACCAATTTGTATAAGATGAAGGAAGGCCTGTCAGTAGATCTTCATACAGTAGAAAACAGGGAAGGCAGATTCTCCCAAGAACCACATAAGGGATTGGTTAGGGATATTACCCATGATAACCAGAAACAAAGACCCAGTTCTGTAACAGATGAGGATCCCCTATTCAGGGCAACTCCTACTATTGGACAGAGTGAAACAACCACTTCAGACTGCCGGTCAAGCACAGTTTTTTAGTGATTCCTCTAATCCGTTAATGCTGTTGAAGGAGAGAGCTGTGTAGGCCACATTAGCTGATTGGCCCTCCCTCAATTAGCCTTCTGCCTCAGTTATGATAGAAGCAGCAGTAGCATTCCAAGTTTTAATTGCAATTTTTGGGATGCTGAACCTATTTGGGCAACAGGGTTCAGCATCCTAGATAGTGCAAAGTGCAGACTAAAATCCAGGGCCAGTTTGTAGCATGCCCAGAAATAGAGTCTCCAGTGGGTAGAAGACGATATGCCATTGTCCCTGTTGAAGGAAGGTCCATTTCTTAGCCCAGTCAGTTCTGCATGTGATGTGGGAAGGAGGCACCACTGTGTCCTCTGCTTCAGGTGGCAAGATGCCTTCCTTAGGTTAGCCTTACTAGCTAGCTTTCTTGGGGTTACATGCTGTCTAACCAAAAATCAAGCTTTCACCAAATGCAGGCAAGCCTGTTGGAAGTACAAATATGCCTGCAAGTTTTGGCAGGTGTTATGGAATATGCTCAGAGAATTGGTAACACATGCTGAGGGACTGAAGATTAAATCTTCTGTGAAACTTCAAGGAGTTGGGCATGTTTGGTCTGGAAAAGAAATGATTGAGAGGCATTATAATGGCCACTTTCAAATATCTGCATAGATGGTAAAATAAATTTCTGTCTGTTGCTCCTGAGGGCAGGACCTGAACAACTAAGATATAGAATTAAAGGTCTTCACTTCATGAACCTGTGATGTCAAATGTCATTATTTTTGCTGGTAGTCTTTGCACGCAGAGCCATTTTACTGCAATGCACCCACTCAGCCAATTCCTAAAAGCTGCTACTGTCGTCTTCTCCCATTAGTGCCTCCTACCATCATGGTGCCAAAGGGCCAGTCCACCATCACTGTCCGTGAAGGGTCCAGGGCAGAGCTGCAGTGTGAAGTTCGAGGGAAGCCCAAACCTCCCATCATCTGGTCCAGAATAGATAAGGATACTCCTATGCCTTCAGGTGCCATGACAGTGGAGACCAGCGATGGGAAGCTGCATTTGGAGAGAGTGACTCGAGAAATGAGTGGGACTTACAAATGCCAGACCGCCAGGTATAATGGCTTCAACATTAGACCTCGAGAAGCCCTGGTGCAACTCAATGTACAGTGTGAGTATAGCTGTAGAATTTTGTTGTTGTTTCTTGTATACAAGGGTGCATTAACATTTTTGGTGGCTTGGGAGGCAAAAGTGCCATCAAGTCAATTCTGACTTAGGTTGAGCCTTTCCAACTTTTTCTAAGTATAGAGTATACAGAAGTGATTTACCATTCTCTTCCAGGGGTGTTTTGGGACTGTGCAGCTTGCCCGTGGATACACAGGCTGGCTCTTCACCCAGGGGACACGGTGTGGTACTGAACTCCTGACTTCTGATTCCACCGGCAGTTACCTGACTCACTGGTCTATCTAGTCACATTATTAGTATTAGAAAGTTAGTTTTGGAACTTATTATCTTACAATTACAATACCAATAACATTGCTGATTGCTGTTACAGCTGCACTTAAAATAAAAGCTATTCATCTCTGTCTATCAAAGATACCTAAAATGACTACTTTTAACTAGCCTAACAACTTTAAATGCTACAAACTGCAGATCTGTGGTAGAAAACACATTCTACTCTTCACCTCATGATCACCGTAACTCACACAGCACAGCACAAGAAAGCAATACCTGAATCTTGTGATATTACCGCTCACACCTCTGTAACTACAAAACATGCAGTTACACTGTGGAAAGAAGTTCTACCTTCTTGGGTTATAATATAAATTAATTACACTCTAGTTATTGGGGGGGAAGGGAACTAATTACAATGGGTATTTGTAGTAAGTTACTTGTAAGCGTTTGGTGAGCACATGAAGTTTCCTCTCCAGTTTCTCTGAAACAGAGAACTTATGGCCAGAATCTTACCAATTATTTCAGTTGGCGTAAGTGCAGTTGTGTAAAATGCAGTGGAGAATTACCACTAATAAATGAGTTTTCACTTGTACTAATCATTATGCAAAAGTTGTGCAATTTTATACAGAATGAAGAATGCAAGTGACAGCTTGCTAATGAGTGGCAGATTGTTGCTGTGATTTATACTATTGCAATTACAGTGGTATGACTAATAGGTTTAATGAGTGGCAGATTGTTGCTGTGATTGCAATTACAGTGGTATGACTAATAGGTTTCTGGCCTATAGATAAGATATTAGACTAACTCTGTTTATTGAGCTCTTTTCATCATTCGGACCCAGTGAACTCATATAGTTCCACCCATACACTCCAGTGAATATGAGAAATCATCATCAGCAGCAACATCTTAGACCTGCAGAGCTGAAAGGAACTCTATGGATGATTGAGCCCTGCCCTTGTCAAGGAGGCACAGTGGAAATTGAGCTCCCAACCTCTGGCTCCACAGCCAGAGACCTAAACTACTGAGCTATCCAGCAGATGAAATATATATTTAGTCCCTTTATTTGCACAAAACCACGAGTCATTAATACTCAGGCTGGCTTCATAATTGAAGAAGAGACATTACTATATTTTTTTATATAAGAGCTTGGAAGAAACTGCTTTTTTTGAACCACAGCTCCCAGATTCATTCAGCCATTGTGGTCAGTCATTGGTGATCCTGGGAGTTGTGGTCCAAAACTGTAACTTTTCTCAAGTGTTGTCCCTGAGTTAGTACAAAGCAACAGAGCGTGCACAACTCAGGATCTCCCCTGGGAACAGCAATATTATCCCATAAGATTCCATAGCAAAGTCCAAAAGATGCCTGTTATAAGGCTAGAGGCATTTGCTGGTCTCTGGCCATGGATAGTCTGCCTGTAATGATAGGAACTATTTAATTTCCACTCTGTAAAGATGTCACTTAGTTGTTCTCTGGGACCTTGGCGGCCCCAAGTTCTTTTGGGGTCAGCCAGAAGGCGAAGCGATTCCAACCTGCTCACCTTCTGGCTGGCCCAGAACCAATTCATATTTGACCTGGATCAGACACAGCTGTAGGGAATAGCTGAGCAAGCAATGTGATATGTGTTTGTGTGTGTATGTTTTAAGGATGGATCTTTCCCTAATATTCACCATGTTGCAGCTTTTTGAGAGGGTATGTGAATAATGTGCTGTTTACAGGTGATCAAATGCTGAACCGGGCAGAATTTTTAATATCTGAGACAAGATGAAAGCAATTTGACTCTTTTACTGTACAGGTCGGGGATGAAGTCAGACATTATTAATGGGAGTGGGTGAATTGAAGCTGTGGGGTGATAACTCTTTTTGCAAAGGTAGCATCCCATCAGGAGCACTTCATGCCCAAGTTTTGTGGGGACTGCTTTGGGAACATGAATGCTGGCAAGTGTGGGATTAAGATGTAGAATGTTAATTTGCACCACCAGGTAGTGTCTCTAGACTGCTCTCACCAAATAGCATGCTTACATCTCACATAGTGTTGCTGATTACAAACTAGTTGCTTTTTCTGTTAACCCACATCTCTTCTTTTCCACAGTGAAAAGAGGGAACCTGTTATAAAAGGTCAGAGAGAGCTGAGCATACACCCTGCAATTTGTTTTCTAAGCTCCCATGTACCATAGAGCAGAACAAAAAATGGCCCGGTTTAGAGGTGCTAGATTCAGAGGGCATCTGGAAACCGCAAAGTGGTCTCGTCACCATGTTACTCCATTGGTTCTCCAGGGAAAATATGCAGACTTTGTACCAGCTCCATGCAAAACATTGTTTGCAAATCAGAATCCAGCTGTAGGGGCATGCATTTGCTCCTTTCTTCTCTGCCTGCAATGATTGGCCATTCTTGGTGTTAATAATATATTGACAATGATAGTTATTACTAATATTAGGTAAAGGTAAAGGTTCCCCTTGACAATTTTTGTCCAGTCGTGTTCGCCTCTAGGGGGCGGTGCTCATCCCCGTTTCCAAGCCATAGAGCCAGCGTTTTGTCCGAAGACAATCTTCCGTGGTCACATGGCCAGTGCGACTTAGACCCGGAACGCTGTTTACCTTCCCACTGAAGTGGTTCCTATTAATCTACTCGCATTTACATGCTTTCGAACCGCTAGGTTGGCGGGAGCTGGGACAAGCGATGGGAGCTCACTCCGTCGCGTGGATTCGATCTTACGACTGCTTGGTCTTTTGACCCTGCAGCACAGGCTTCTGCGGTTTAGCCCACAGCACCACCACGTCCCCGTATTACTAATATTATAACTATATTAATAAATATTCTCATTTCTATAATATTAGAAAGAATAGTTTCACATCATATTTACCATGGCTCCCCTGTAAAGCAGAGATTGAACCATGATTTGAAGCTGTCTTGCTGATCACATTTTTGAAGGACCATTTATAGTTATCTAGAATTTACATTTCTGGGCAAACCCATGATTAATACACATATGGGAGAGATGGGATACTTTCCAAGAGGGTTATATGCTAGGGATGTAAGGAATATTCTGCAGTGTTTTTGACTCAGGTGAATTTTAGCATTTTGCTCAGGTGGGGAAATTCCTTTGGGGCTCCCATGGAGACGAGAAGATTCTCAAGCACCCAAGTGAGAAATGCTGAGCACTGGGCTCCCCTCCCACTTCTCTGCAATTTTCTGCTCAAAATTAAGTTTTACAGTCCTGAGCTGATTGTGCCTGAGCTATTATCTTGGGCTGGAGTATCCCTTTGTTGCTATTGTCTATTTCAAGCTCTTTAGTCAATTTCAAAAGGTTAAGCACAACATTTGCAAGCTCATTTTGTTAGAGGTATCAGAAGCAGACTTAGGCAGATAATTTTATTATTTCTCATTTCTTAATTACATTTATATCCTGTCTTTCCTTCTGTGAGCTCAGGGTAATGTACATCATTCCCCCCATCCTTCCTACTTTATCCTCAAAAGAAGCCCATGAGTTAGGTGAGACTGAGAGAGAGTGACCAGCCCAGGGTCAGCCATCGAGATTTGCAGCTCAGTGGGAAATACAACCTGGATCTTGCCAATGGACATGACGTGGGCTGTGCTATGTGTCATTTTCGATTGGCACACCAATGTTTTGATCCATATTGAATAACCTCTTTCAGAAATCTCTTTCAATTTATGGTGAATAGTGTTTTCAGTGGAGCTGGAAAAAGTTACCTTTTTGGGCCATAACTCCCAAAAGCCATGCTCCTGACTAGCTAACAGATCCTGCAATTTTCAGTCCAAGAAATATCTTTTTGAAAGTTCTGGTTCTGAAGGTGCACTGAACCAATCACCTGATGGGTTGACCATGCCTTAGACTTCATTGCATCAACTATGACCTGAAATGGCTGTGTGAACTTGTGTGCAGATTTGGGTTATTCCGAGGGAAGAAGGTAGAATTGCTTTAAAATCTCAACCTTTCTTATTCTTCCTTGGGGATTTTGTTTCCAGTACCTTTGTTTTCTCAAAAAAATGACCTTTATCCTTTGGACATTGCAGTGACACCTATCCAGAGTCTTTTCCCTGTCCTCCTCTCTAGAGCAGCGAACCTTCCTTTCTCCATCCTCTTCTCATGCAAGGAGCCAGGCAGTGTAGAAGAGGGTGTGCATGTGCGCCAGTTAATTGAGCTGCTCCTCTCCAGCATGAGGATCTCATTAGCTTTGTGCCTTGCTCTGGAATTCTAATTTTGTCAGAAATAGAAATCGTGTGGTTGCTGAAGGCGCTCTGATGAGAGCGCAAATTTTTCCCTCGCTTGTTCTTTCCCACTGAGAATCTGCTCTGACGACGAGTGTGCGTTACAGGTATATATTTGTGTTCCTGCATGCTTGCAACTTGTATTTGAACTGGCTTTCTTTGGGGAAAGTGGATTCTGGGTGATAATTTGGTTGTTTTGCTGATTTGTTCCAGAGCTAAAGTTGCAAAAAAAAAAAAATCAATACAGCAGATCTGATTAGATGTCAGAAACCGTTTCTCTGTTTCTCTTTTCTTCTTTTTCTTTTCGCCCACCAATATATAGTTCTGCACGGTGGTGCACCAGCTCTGAAATTAGCTTTGCCAGCAGTACTGCAACAGTGGGGCAAGAATAACAAACAAACAACTAAAGTCTTAGAGACAGATTATTGTTGCTTATCCTCAGTCAGTTTTGAAAATAGGAGGGGGAAAAGCATCTTTATGTTATTTCAG